AAGTACTTTAAACTGTATAAATAATGTAAAATTAAATTGATTTAAACAGCCAATCATACGAATGTCTGCCTATGAGATGATCACTGGGTTCCGTGTTCTTGAAGTGTCTCAAATTATCAGCTAGGTAAAGTATTTTTTAACTATACAGTGGATGGATGTTGTAATTCAAAAAGGAAATTAAAACAAAAATAATCAAGTGATATTGTCGCAATTTCCTTCCTTGAATTTCGGCACCCATCTATAAAAATTTTAGCATCGAATTTATTAGGTACAAGAGCATAGATGAATAACGTTATAATTATATTAATATATATTGAATTACCAATTTAATATAGCTATTTTCAAAAGAGTAAACTGTTGCAAATAACCATATAATGAGAAATTCAACAGATTTCAACACATTTCCAGAGTTTTAAGATCGGAGTTCGCATATTTTTGAAAACAGCTGTAAATCCATGCAAAGTTTGAACAAAAGCACCAGCGTAACCAACAATCAAGGGGACAGTCACGTGATATTCCGACCAATTTTGTGATCGAAGTAAAAAATTCGATTCAATTATTTAATAGCGTATCTCACGAAAATATATCGAATATATATATTTATTTATTATTTATTTATTAGATTATATTGCAAAATAGAATTTAGACTATAGTATTCTAATTTTACAAAGATATTGGAATTATTACGTTTCATACAAGCTTCATCCATACATTCGTGGTAATGTACGTCTTTTTTCAATGTGCAAAACATCATCAACTAATTTGCTAAGAAGAATTAACTTTTCTTCCATGTTATCAAGAAACTTTTGCTGACTATGAAAAACCTTCGATTCATCAAGAATGCGTTGTGCCTGAATACCAATATAAATATTATCAATTTATTGTACAGCTGTCCTCCCATACAATCACACAGTTGGGCACATAGTAAATTTTTTTAAGAATGTGCTTATAAAGGGGTTGTGCTTATATGGAGGTTTTTTCTTATAAATTAAATCATAGTTTGGCCTAAATAAAAATATGATTATATATGATGTGATTATATGGGAGGTGACTATATGGAGGGTCAACTGTATAACATTAAATCAATTATATAAGCTCTTATCTCATTTAGAATCTTATACAATCAATATGTTTTTGTTCAATTATGTTTACAGATTCATTATTTGTTTTGTTTGTACTATTTGTTATGAGGATTTTATTTATGTCTAAAATGCAACAAAAAATTATTGAGAAAAACATAATTAGTACAAATAAAATGATAATAAAATTTTGAGCTATTGCATAAATTGAAGAGAAGATTATAATCATTTTAAAGACAATAAATATTCTAAATAATTAGATAAATTATAATAATAATATTTTCTAACTCAATAAATATTATGTTTATTGAGTTTATTTAAAATAATAAAATAATTAATTAATTACTTATTGTTATTATTTTTTTGTCTATAAGCTTTTTGTTTAAGTTAATTGACTTTTGGTGCTTGACATTTTGATCAAAAAATGCCAAAAGATTAAAAAAAATATACAAGAAAACTTCTCCAAAAATGCTAAAATACCAGAAAGAAATTAACAAATTTACTAGAAAAACATCAAAGGACTAGTGGGTATTCACAAGAAATTTACTAAAAAAATTCTAAAGGACTGAAGAAAATCTATAAAAGAATTTTTCAAAAAAAGTGCTAAAATGCCAAAGGGAGATTTACAAGAAATTCACCAGAAAAACACTGAAAGATTAGAAAAAAATTTACAAGAAAATTTATTAAAAAGAAAAATACCAAAATACTCACAAGAGATTTTCTCCAATAAATGCTAAAATACCAGAAAGATATCCATAAAAAATTCACCAGATAATTGCTAAAGTACCAGAAAAAAATCTACAAAAGAACTTTTCAAAAAAAAAGCTTTAAAAAAACACTAAATCTAAAAGAAAATCTATAAGAAAATGGTTGATGAACTTTCTTGTAAACATTCTTCTGGTTTTACCAAAAATTGCCAAAAGACCAAAAAAAAATCCACCAAAAAGTCCCTATAAAAAAAAAATAATAATTATATTCCGAAAATATTCCGAATTATTATGTTAGAAATATTCCAAAAATATT